AATTATCCTCCGAAATACATGTCACCGATCCCCTATCGTCGCAATCTTTCTGCCTCCTTGTTTTCGTTCCCGTAGACCTTTTATTCTCGCCTGCTTCATAACGGTCACGAGAGAAGGTTAACGACAATCATATTTTTCATCACAACTTCAAGACACCCTTCACCACTTTAGGTTGCACCCTGCCTAAACAGGTCGTTTTCAGGGTCTTCGGACCTTTCACCACTTCAGGATGCAGCCTGCCTAAACAAGTGGTTTTCAGGGTCTTCGGACCTTTCACCACTTCAGGACACCCTTCACCACTTCAGGATACATCCTGCCTAAACAGGTGGTTTTCAGGGTCTTTGGACCTTTCACCACTTCAGGACCATTCAAGATTTTCAGACTGCCCAAAACTCTCACTTCACCACTTCAGGATGTGCAGCCTGCCTAAACATGTGGTTTTCAAGGTCCTCGGACTTTTCACCACTTCAGGACCATTCGGGATTTTCAAACTGCCCAAAACACTCACTTCAGAATTTTCATTCCTGAATTTTCAGCTACCCGTTAACTGCTTGTGACGGTCATCTACAACAACTTAGTCGCTTCCCGGGCCCTCACAGCCCTAGTCCCCATCTGATAGCAGCGAGTACTCAGCGTCAGACAAACGGATCAATCAAATGCCTTATCTATAATTAAGTTCTCTCTCTTGTCAACCGTTGATCCATCCGATTAAAACACCCTAACTGGCTTCAGCACACGATTTATTGTCTCCATAATTTGTTCGCTAATAACATGTCTATGCCTACAACGGCGGGTGGTATTTCGTGTGATGGTGATCAGGTGACGCCCTGTTATGGCACCGAAGAGTCGGCATAACCATAGCTTGATCACACCTAACTATGGCTCCAGAAACCAGCGCAGTAATGGTCAGGGTCACATGCAGGTAAGAGCTCCGAGAATCAATGCAGTGATAGACAATTTACACCCAACCATAATCCCGATAGTTGACGTGGTAGCAATCGGATTTTGATCGGCTATAGTAAGCTTTCCTCGACCAAGGGTAGAAACAGAGCGAGGTTGAAGGATATCGAATGATGATAATTCACTCCGCAAGGAAGAGACACTTATGAGAGTCAACTTTCGAAGACGGGAGTAGTTTTGGACTCGAATGCATTGGAGGCTCATGGTGACTTCAACAGCGTGAAGACTTCACTACTGGCAATAGAGATTAGTCAAGAGTCGTAGGCGAATTCAGCAAAACTATCAACTTGGATATAAAGAACTCGCAAGGGTGTCTGCCGCAGCGAACCCAATGAAGAATCTAGATTCAAAGAAGGCCAATTCATCGGAGACATGAAGCACCCGACACCAAGGTGATCGCCCATGACGTCCAGTGCCAACCAACGCTAGTAACTGAGGGCCCAAAGGTCGCACTAATAGATCCCCCCTCTCGGTTGGTCTAACTACCTTTCTTGTTTGCTTGCACTACATGACCTCTTGCAGGCTTGCGCTGCCCTCCCTCATGGCTCAGGCCCAAAGCGAGCTGTCCTCCTTCGACTCATACAGAGGGGGAACAAACCTTTCCTCGCCTCATCTCATCGCCTACACTTTGCATACACTCCGTACTCACAATTTTAGCAGTTCATAGGGCAGCCGAGGTACTCATCGCCACACATAAGACCGTAACTCAAAAGGAAAAAGGAAGAGGGGATGACGTCAGAAAAGGAAAGGCAAGCAGCTACGCCCCCCCCCGATTGCTCTTAGTCATGTTCGTCCCCTCGCTCTCTTGTTCTCACCACTCACTTGTGCATGCACTCACCTCTTCACAGACCCCTTTGCTCCCACTCTTTGCGTAGGCGATTGCCAATACAGCTCCACACTAATCACATGTAGGTCGCACAGACGTAGGTCTTGTCCACTCGTTCGAAAAGGAAGTTGCAATGACCGCAACGATTCCGCACACAAGAGCATGTACTCTAACTGCAATAGAATTGAAGTCGTAAAGTGGTGGCCAGCTCGAGAAGTATCGCCTCAGGGTATCAACAACAACGAAGAAGCGTCCATGTATCTAAACATGTCTGACCTTTGTTTGTGCCCCTTTCTCGTGACAAGCCCATAGGAGACTGACGTCAACAACAAACGTACGAAAAAAAAAGCCCCCCTCTGGTTGTGAGTCGCATATCTCTCTTTAGCTCATCTCTCTCTCTCTCTCGTAACCGCTCACACCTCCATTCTTTCATCTGCGTCTCACAGCCTAGCGGCTATGGTCCTTTTGTTGTCCCGAGTTGACCTCTGCGCCAATCTCCACATGCTCAGTTGGCGGGTGGTCCCTCCACCACTAGTCCAGCCCGTGCCACGACAGAGTCTCCGCTACGCTGACCTCACTTTCACCTCGTGAGTTTTGGTCTAGGTGTTGCTGCTCGAGCTTCGTGGTCTCGTTAGAGGTCTCAACTTCGTGGTATGCTATCGTCACATGAACCTCAATTGTGATACCATCCCTTGTGCATCTTCGCTTAGCCCGGTCCTTCACTCCTATGACCACCGCCTGTAACTTCAGGTGCCGTCTCATCTCCTCCTCTCTCGCTCCCTCCATGTTAATTTTCAACTTGGCCTGGCTCCCTCCGTCGTAGTTTAGGATCGTGGTTATCCAGGGACCCTCCGACCTCCGGTGTGTTACAAGGTTCCAACAATCTGGCCTATAGATATGCAAGGCCATAGTTGTGCACTTCCCAGAATAGTCAGAGCCTTGATGTCTGGCGAGCACACACACAGACAATTTTACCACCTGGATACCACATTGCTCCTCCCTCCTACCTCAGATCACTAGCATTAGCATAACGAGGCTGCCAACGTGCACCTACTGGTCAGTAGCTAATAACCTGCCCTCTTCACCCTTTATAGGATCGCTACACACCGCGAACCCTGCGTTTTGAATGAGGGACTTGAACAACCTTCCAAATTTTGTTTGCTAGTAATAAAAATTCAAGGAATAATAAAATAAACAGATTAAAACGAAAGGCCAAATCTCAACGGTCATAGCACAAGTATAACCCTCCGCTATCAATCCCCAGTTCCTTTGTCTTGTCGTGAAGTGATTGCAAAGTTGAAGTGTTGGTCCCATAACGGGATGTAGGCAGACGCCTTCCTCCCTTCAAAGGCGGTCATCGGGCTACCCCTGATGGGTACCCGTGTTCGATGGTAAGGAGGGGGCTTGTGACCCCTCACACGGTGACAAGTTTTCTACCAAAGCGGTCGCTGGTGCACCCTTTTGGAGGTCTTACAACGCAGCGTCTAGCAAGTTGCGCCCACGATAAATAGAACGTGAAAGGCCTGACCAACCTGGACCGCATGTTCGTAATCAGGGTTCAAGGACTAACTTTTCATCCCCCCTTCCCGCGAAGCGACAAAAGCGGGGAAGTTTCAAAAGGCATCTTAATAATAGTAATAATAATAATAATAATTGTAATAGTAATAGCACATCAAGCAAGAAATTGAAAGAAACATAACGTTGCCACAGCCCGACGCCGCTAGATAATTTGAGTGGAAGCAACAGTTCGAATCAAGGTGCAGATATGACACTCAACTTTTCCAACTTTTCTGTTCCTTTTTTTTTTTTTTTTTTTTTTCTTTTTTGTCTTTCAATTCTTCTCAATTCCATTGTGACCGTAACTCTTTGTACACATCCCATAACTCGACGCGCATTGGAAAAGGTTGTGTCGGTCCCTCTACCTCCGCGTCCCTGGACGAGCCACGGCCACAGGCCGGTAGTGCTCTACTGTACAGCAGGGCGCCGAGCCTGTGTGGACCAATGGAAAGTCCACTCGCGCACCCACCCCCTTTTGTCGTGGGAGTCCCCGGCGGACTAGTCTAAGGACGTGACCCGCGCAGGGCAAGCCTAGAATACTACCATGGCAGTGAGCAGGCTGTGCCTGGTACACAGCGGAGTTACGTAGGCAGAAAGGTGGTATGTTGTGAGGTCTGAGCACGGAGTCGGTACACAGCGGAGCTTATGGGCTGGTATCTGGTACGCAACGGAACTTATGGACTGGTATCCGGTACACAGCGGAGCTCATGGACTAGTATCTGATACGCAGCATAGGGTTGGGGCACCGCGCCCTCCGACATGATACCAAACCCTCGCGCAGTGTCCATACTGGATCTAAATCGGCATGCAAAATAGTATAAATTTAAGACGTACTAGCCATTTTCCCATTCACTTCCGCAGTAGCTTTGCGGTAGTGCTATCACGGTGATTCAGCGCTTAACTGCTAACTCTTTTGACACCGTAATGCTAGCATTTTTCTCTTTTATTATGTGGCGCGCTAGCTCTCCGCCCATAGTGCAGCGACTCTGCAAGAAGTGTATAGTCGCTTTCCACCTGTTGTCTTAGCAACACACCTCCCTTTCACTTATAGCGCAGCAACTTCACGTCGGTGATTTAATAGCAGAGCGGTTTTAACTTCTCATACTCACAACAGATCTTTTATGCAGCGCTTCTCTTTTTTGTATATCATCAAGCAATGGCTCATCTTATACCATGCCTGAAGCACGTGCAGGGCAGGGAAGAGGAAAAGGTGGTAGAGAGGGGTAGGGCTTGTCAATAACCGCCAGCTCGCACACGGTGCAAGTACAGCTTAGGGGAGGAGGAGGAAGAGGCGCGAGGTTATAATGTTCATACCAGACCATACCCACGTCACTCTCTAACTGGCTGGTATGAGAGGACTTCATCCCCTACAAGAATAGAGTAGAACTTCATCTCCTACAATGATGGAGTATTATCAAAAGAAGTTTGAGGCGCGCTACGGCACACCCAACACTTCTTCTCTGCCATATACTCTCAAAGCTCTCACTACTCCCAGAATAAGCAAGGCATTAGTGTCACCATCATTGCCCTCTATGTCATGCGTGGCTTCTTCTTTGCACCAGATTAATAGTTGCACCCTCTGCTGTATTTTCTCTCTCCTCGTTTTACTTCAGATAGAGTTCATGACCATACTCCATATCTTGTATAAGCGTGAAGTCTTTTCTTTGAATTTCTAAATCTTTTCTTTTCTAGATTTCTCAATCCATTTTGTACTTCATGGCGTTCTTGGCTTGACTATTTGAATACTTTGAGGCCGGGGATGCTGATTCCTCGTGAACCAGGCCGCTCTGTCGGCCACAAAATAAAATTTAAGAAGGATTTTGTCTTAGCTCTCTCATCTGCAATTGACTTTGACCTCTTATCATCTTGAAATCTGATTCCTCTTTGACCTTTTCAGTGGATAATTTACCTCGTCTTCCACTTCTGATAGTATTTTCATGGATATCGTCAATCTGGCGTTAGCAATGCAGACACTCATTGTCAACAGTATCAGGGGTAAGGCATACCAAACCCTTTTTCTTGTTCTCGGGCCTTAGTGAGATGTCTTCTCAACTTCTCAAGCAATTGGGGGGTGAATACCAAACCCCGTTCTCTTTCTCCGATTTGAGTGAGGCGTGTCCTCAACTCCTCGGACAGATCAACGGGATACCAAACCCTTTTATTTTTCTCTGGTCTTGGAACTCCAAACGAATTTGCATATGAACCTGTAAAATAACAATTTTCACAAACCACCAAGTGTGATCCCAACATGCAAACTCCCTGACAAGGAATCATAAAAAATAATTAAATAAAATAAAAACCCGCAATAAAATAATAAACAATATAAATAGTTCTTCATACCCAAGAGTTATTGGTTGCTTTGGTTTTGGTCTGCCACTGGTCCGGGGTGACAGACCTCACATTAGTCTAACAACCCTCATTTGGTCCGCCTCAGGCTATGACTGATCAGACCATTTGTCTTGATAGCCCCTTTAACCTGCCTCCAGGTCAGAACCACCATACCCACCACTCAAGTATGGTGACCCTTTGGCGCACCTCACGCCAAGGCACCCAGACTTTAGCAGGTTTGGTCACCCTATGACAATAGACCTCCCGTCTGCCCAACTGTCCCGTACCTAGATTTTACCACTGCGGCCAGGGACCGTTGTCGGAGGGTGCGGTGTCCCGGCCCTCCTCCGTGTACCAAGTTCCTACTTGGCACCATCCTTAACTTTAGTGCTGCGATCTGTAACTACTCCCGAAAATACTATGACACTTGGTACATGGCCTGCACCATGACATGGACCGGTCCTGCTTGGCACCTGCCTCAGCAAAAGGGTGCGCCACAGGGCCTTCCTTTGGTCCACACAGGCTCGGCGCCCTGCTGTACAGCAGAGCACAACCGGCCTGTGACTGTGGTAGCCGCCGGATCTGCCCTGGGACGCAAAGGCGAAGGGGTTGGCGCAGTCTTTTCTACTGCGTGCCGAGTACCCTGTTGCCAAGTTATGGGTTAGGTGCAAGGGGTAGAAGTCGCTGTCGGGGAAGGAAAAGAGAAAAAGAAGAATAAAGCGTCAAATTTAAACTCGTTTTCTTTTGTGTAGGGAAATCCAGTGACCTCAGGCTGCTGTGATGCTATAGTTTCCTTTTCAATTTTGGATTGCCATCATCATTATTAATATTATTATTATTGTTATTATTACTTAATTTCCCTATTTTCGCTTTTTCATCTGTCGATCTGATCCTTCGTAGGGAAAGGGCCGCCGACTCGGGTTTTTGGACAGTAACTCCGGTCTTATGGCCTGGGCTTTACTGACCCTTTGTACCGGGCCTGATTGTCTGAACCTCGCGGTGAGACCCCGGTGGCCAGGTTAAGGGGGAGCAGATACGGAGAGGACTGAAGAGAGAAAAATAAGAAAAGGGGGAAAGAGAGGGAAAAGATTGGAAGTCGGGCTTTAGATTTATGTGTGGACTCGTATTGCCGTTCGGGCAAGGCTGCTGCGCGGCGGAATTTCGAAACGCCATCTTTTCCTTTCCTCTATTATTACTTAGTTTTTTTTTCGCTCGTTTGTCCGATTCGGTTACCTTTTAGCCTGTCACTTCACAGGAAAGCCAACGGTCTGAATTTGGAGCGGTGGCCCGAATTGGCCGGTTCCACCTATTCCGTCTGAGAATGTGCGTCGACTGAGTGCTGCGTGGTCGGGCCTCAAAAGAAGGGCGACCCACGGCCGCATTGGTAGGAAGCTTATCACCCCGCTCATGGAGGGTCATAAGCCCCCTCCTTGCCATCGGACGCAGGCACCCGGATACTGTAGTCCTAATTGTAGGCTTTAAAGGGAAAGAACCGCCAATCGGTATCCCGTTATGGGACCGACGGTTTGAGTCTTTGGCAGCAATTGTGAAAGCTTGAGGAGTGGTGACGGTACTGGAATGAAACTCCGCCTGACAGTTAGGGTCCAGACTGGAAATAACTTCGGGAGTTAATTAATTTTCTTTTCAATTCTGAATTTGTCTTTACTCTTCAGGAAAAGATCTTGGCAGAACCTACCATTTCGAGCATAGGGACCCTGGCGGGCAACGAGCCTATAAAAAAGTGATGGAGCCGAGTGTTAGGCACGTCGTGAATGCCAGGCACAATTGCTGCTCTGGGGGTTTGAGTTTCATCGTAGCGCTCTGCTGGGACAACCTCAGAGCTGGGGACGTACTGTGCTGGACAGAGGATCGCTCTCAGCGTGCTCTGCGTGTCGGAAACTGAGCCTTGATGGGAGGTGGTTGCGGCTATAGCAAGCTACAGGCCTGCGTGTGTATTGCCTGTTGGTGTGTTATTCCGTGTGGACGGCTTAGTGTTGCGTGGAGGTCATAGTACTGAGTCTGACTATGGCACTGCATGGGTACAGACCCGCGTACTGGTACCACCAGGCCCGTTGGAAGCCAGTGTCCGGGGAAGGGCCCTGGATTACCGTCATACTCAACTATGACAGTGGAGATGAGTTGGTACTGAAGATCAACGTCGAGGGAGCAAGAGAAGGACAGATGCGGACTAACCCGAAGTTGTAGGATGCGATCTCTGAGGCGAGAGACCGAGCGGAGAGATGCTGTAGACGAGACGGAGTGACGACAAGGCTTCGGATAACGGTGGCCTATCACGAAACTGAGACCTCGATGGACACGGCGGACCTGGAACAGGTCCACCAGGATAGAAAACGCTGTCGGGCGCACTCGATCCGGCACCGCACGGGGGCAGCGCGGGACCCTCCCGGTCGCGTCACGCAGGAGTTGGTTTTCAATCCTTCGTCGCAAAAATACATGGAGCTTCCACAAGCCGCTCCGGCCGGGTGCGCCAGCCATACCTCTCGCGAGCCCCTACGACAGGATAGGGCCTACGCGAGGCACGACTACCTACACCTTACGGGA